CCCCCCCAGTGAGAAAATGGTGTTGTGACAAACCTGTTTCCAGAAACGTCGAGCACGTGCAGCTCAGTAGCCTGTGAGAGCTCGGGAGGGATGCGCGCCAGACGGTTCTCTCTCACACACAGAACATTCAGACTGCAGCAGCCGCCGATCTGAGACGAATCACAAAAAAAAACATGAGCAAACTCCCCTGTGACCACTGCGAAGCGCTCCGGAAATCAGCACATTACCCCGTCACAAGAGAGCACGACATCAGCTCTGCCAGCATATGAATACTTGCAGGAAAATGACTGAGAAGACAGAGAGTGATGAACACAGCTGCACTAAACAGCAAGCAAACCTTTCCTAAATAAGCAGTTTCAGTGACAGTAAGCCAGCAGAGCTAAAATTAGAGTTAATGGGCAGCTAAAAGGCAATGAAAGCTCTCAAATGCAAAAGAGCAATGGAATCCTATGGAGCGAGTCACACCAGACGGCAACATTCGCCTGCTGACAAAGTGAGGTTTTCTCATCTGTGTGTTACTGCTTACATTTCAGCACAATGGTCAATAATAGTTCTTTTTCATCATTAAGAAAAGCTGGGAAAAATACTTGACTTCAAGCTGGAAGTTTAGAGGTGTAACTATCCATTTTATAAAATGCTAATGAAACATTATTAAACTGACCCCAGATAATTATTATTTTTTATTAGTTAAAAATAAGGCTGTACAATAAATCATATTTTAATAATTTCTGCTTCTCTTGATTAACTAAGGATAATCATCTGAAGTATTGGCCAGCTGGTTATTCATCCTGATTTTTATTATTTGGCATTTCTGTTACCTTGCATTGTTTACAAGCCTCCATAATAGTTCATGCACAGGAGTGCCAGATATCAAGAGTTTAAAAGGATATATTTCCTTCCCAGAGTTTTACTTACATTTTCCCAACCTGGCAACCACGCTGATGCACTGAAGACCAGCAAAAACATTCGATTATGATATTCTGCTCCAATGAATGTGTAATACAGCCAGTTTGTTCTCCTTCACAAGGCCAATGTGCTATTTGCTGTAACTAAATCTGCGAGGAAACCTTCTCAAATTACATACTGTAATAAATCTCGGCTATTTTGTTTGTGGTTGCTAAATAAATGCACCTACGCAAACTCAGTGCTACAATACGAAGTCTTTTTTACCGCTTCAACAGAAAAACATTACCATCATTTGGAATTACTGGAACTGATATTAGAAAACTTCACTGTTTTAACATCTGGTACAGTGGAGAGCAGACAGGAAGCACAATGGGACAGAGAAAGGAGGATGTGTTCAGGAAAGCACCACATGCCAATTCTCGAATTTGGGTCAGCTGAAGTGCATTTGCACTATATGTCGGAGCACTGCCCATTAGGCTATAATGTAATGAGTTGATGTTCTGTTGATGTGTGCTTACATGATAAAGCAATCATTTTGACTAAAAGAAATAGTGATCAATAATCGCGAATATAACTGATAATCATGATTATTTTGCTTAGTTTGTCATTACGTGCAGCCCTACACTCTGAGATTGCTTGACGATGAAATAATATGAGAACATGACATTTTGCTGGCTTTTGTGTTGTGTCCATTGAGTGAGGTCAGAGAAGTCACAGCTGAGCAAACGGTCTCAGAGAACAAGCTGCCTCATTCATACAAAGCCATTGTTTAAACAACACAATAACATTCCTCAAATCTCGCTCAGCTGTCACCAGCGCCCGTCCTCACCCCACACGCATGAAAGTATGGAAGAGAAAGAAAAAAAAAACCTTTAAGAATAGGAGATGAGGCTTTCTCAAGAACATAAGACACTTGAGGGCCGTTGAAGATGACAAGACACAGAGCAGTAACACAACAAGCTATGTGTTTGTCCGGGTGCACGTGCCATAGGCGACCCCATCCCGAGCACTGCAGTCATGCCACAAAAACACACAGCACTACAGTTTATGGGTAGACAAAGTCATGTGACGGTTGATGGCAGGGTGCCCCAGGCCAGTATGCCAATAACACTGACTGACCTAAGGTGCGGTTTCACTGAACTGAATCCGGCCTGGAACTGGATTTGCTGGTTAGGAAGTGTAAGGATTACCTTTCATTAGACCTATTACAGCGGCAGCAGGGCCACTATCGCATGAGTCAGCACATAAACCAAAGCACTCATGACAGACACGCTCACACAGGAGGGAGACTTACTCCAGCCAGCGCAAGTGTGAGCTATTGTGCCAAGCAAGAGAGAGTTTTAAAGATTTTGAGAGTTTTAACAATGGAGTCTTACTCTGAATGTGAACATCTTGATTTAGCAAAGTACTGTTCCTTAGAATTAGAGGTCTGTGCGGGACTGTTTTTTTTAGTCCCGCTCCCGCAAGGTTCTATTCCGCACCCGCTATGTATTCACTCTTTGTTCACCCGCTGTCCGCTTAGAATAATTTTCTTCCCGACCCGACCGTTCCCGCTAAATTTAGATTTCAATTTCCTCTACTGAAAGAAAGAGAGAGAGGCTGACAAATAAAAGTGTATTCTGCACAAAATTGTATGTTATTTTATTAGTTTTGTCAAGAGTAGTGAATTTATTGACTTTGACTTGAATTTACATGAATTATCTTAAGACACAAAATTAGTTTAATATTTTAAGCAACACCGTAGGAAAAAAAAAGTGTCAGAAAATAAAAATGTTGACAAAAATTGTATTTCTTATTTTTATTCGTCTTGTCAGGATACAATTCGTTTAACATTGACAACACAATAGGAAAAAAGTGTCGCAGAGAGAAAAAAAAAAAAAATGTAGGTTGTACAAAAATAGCCTATTAGCTATTTTTATTCGTCTTGTCAAAATACTAAATTCGTTTGACATTTTTCTGTTAAAGGGGTCATATGATGCGATTTCAATTTTTCCTTTCTCTTTGGAGTGTTACAAGCTCTTGGTGCATAAAGAAGATCTGTAAAGTTGCAAAGACTAAAGTCTCAAATCCAAAGAGATATTCTTTATAAAAGTTAAGAGTCAACCACGCCTACCTAAAACGGCTCGTTCTAACACGCCCCCACATATCTACCTCACTATGTGGGAAGATTTGCATAACGCCGCCCAAATGTTCACGCAAAGAAAGAAGGCGTAACTTTTATTCTCACTGTAGTATTGTTGCCGCCGCCATGTCGTGAAAACGCTGTGTGTTTCGTTGTGAAAGCGAAATTACTTTGTTTGGTCTTCCAAAAGAGGACTATATCCGCTTCGTCATGCCTGGAGCTGATCTGTGCAGGTCGCTGAGGAAATACATCAACTTAATGCTGTGGATCACCGGATTGGCTTTCACCGTGGACGAAGCGAAGTCCAGCCCGGGGTCATCACATGTGGTTGCCGCTCCTTCGTTGGATCCGCCGGCCCGCCTCTGCTCACTCTAGCCCGGCCTCTGCTCACGCTAGGCCGTCGTGTTTTTCGTTGTGAAAGCGAAACTACTTAGTTTGGTCTTCCAAAAGAGGACACAACTACAAATCAGTGGTTAAGTTGTATTTACAACACTGTTCCAGAACAGTTCAACCCAAATATCCAGATGTGTGCAGCACATTTTATGGAGGACTGTTTCCTGATCCTGGGAGAGTAGACTACAATGCCGGCTGTTCTGACTCACAGACTGTAAGTATGTTTTCATTTAAAGAATTTGCCACTGACGATTCAAACGCGAGTAGTACTTGTAGTTTGTAATTTCTCCGATCACAAATGCAGACATGGTTTTATGTTTACGCGGCGCGATGCAATGCAACGCGTAAAAAGACAGTATAAGTCATTATAATCAGTAATTATGTCCCCACTGGATGCAACAAATGCCTCGTTTGTAATGGGTTTTAATGTTTTTGTCTCGTCGCTCCGGCCGGACATGGCATCACAGTATGGTGAGGGGCGTAACATTTTCGTCACACGCTTGAGGTATTCGGCCAATCACAACGCACTGGATAAGCTGGCCAATCACAGCACACCTCGCTTTTTAGACCGATGAGCTTTGTAAAAATCTATGCGTTTCAGAAAGGCGGGGCATGGAGGACCAACAATAATGTACAGTATGTGGAAAATAATGTGTTTTTTTTTTTTACTTTAAACCGCATAAACACATTTCATTAAACCAAATACACAAAATAATGTTCTTTTTAGCAACATAATATGACCCCTTTAACACCGTAGGAAAAGTGTCACAGATAAAAGTAAATAAATACGACATCTTTCATTTAAAAGTATAGGCTAAGCAAAATATAAACAAAACCGAGTTGAACGTCCTTCAAGGACAGCGCATCCACACTTTGCTCCATCCTTATTCTGCTGTCACTCATCGACAGCCTGCCTGTTCTGTCTGAGGGCCGTATATTTACCACAGGTACAGCCTGCTCTGAGCTTCGTTATGCACATGCAAATATATGCACAGACCCCACAAATAAAACGCGTAACGCCAATAAGAATAAAGCGCAGATATGCTGTTCTAAAAGGACGTCGGGAACGGGTTATTGTTAGACTGCCCGCTCCCGTTCAAATTACACCAGAGTTACCGACCGCTACCGTGTTTTATTCGGGAATTTAATCACGCGGCGCAAAAAATGCATCCAGAATGCAGACCTCTACTTAGAAGTGCTGTGAGGATAAAGATACTGAACTGTAAATGCTAAAGGCTGCATGCTTAAGGCTGTTCAAACTGCACTTCATACCAATATCAAATATTTGATATGTAAGGAATAAGGATTACATTCTGGATTGCAATTTTGCAAGTGTTGATCTGTTTGATTAGACAGCATAGTTAATATCCAATATGACAGCAAGAGAAATCAGAGTAGCGTCAATGTGGAAAAATAGGTAAAAACCAGAAAATTATATACACCATGACACCCAACTAATGAGTCTCTGAGTCTCACAATGTAACTAATTGGACTTAATAAGGGGTAAGGTTTGGTTTGGGGTTAGGTTCAGGGTTAATACCTTGTTATTATAAGTACATCATACATGCATGTAAGTATAAGAATTTCAGTCACACTTAATTATTTTAAGGTCCAATTCTCACTATTAACAAACCATTAACTACGTCTTTTGCTTCAATAAACTCCTAATTTGCTGCTTATTAATAGTTAGTAGGGTAGTTGTTGGGTAGGATTAGTAGGATCCGAACTGACTGCACTGTATTTTATGTATAATCATTTTCTATTTTTAACTGTCTTAAATTCATTTAAAATAATTTTCTAAAAATTTTAATTCCTTGTTTTATTTTTGTGATTATTTTTTTATGATTATTTTACGTTCTTTTATGTAAAGCACTTTGAATTACCATTGTGTATGAAATGTGCTATATAAATAAACTTTCCTTGCCTTGGGATGTAGAATATGGTCATGCAGAATATGTGCTTTATAAGCACTAATAAACAGCCAATATGTTAATAATAGGCATGCTAATAAGCAACTAGTTAATAGTAAGAATTGGTCCCTACACTAAAGTGTTACCAGAATTTCTAAGTCTAAATTTAATGCATCAACTATTTTTCATCCAACTTTTTTCAGAAAAAAAAAAAAAACCCTTTATCTACAGTAATCGGTACAAACCCCCTCTGAACAAACGCAAAAGATTTCCCCCCAATAATCACTAATACACTTCATGGAAAGATGACAAAATATATATGTATTAAACATTCTTAATAAAAACAGAAATATATGTAATTATTAACTGTCAATTTTGTTTAAACAAAGAGTTGCAGAAATAAGCACACCTTTGATTAAATTGAACAAACTTGTAATATTCCTCTACTTAATACATACTCCATAACCATCCCACATTAAGTATACTGCTCTGACCCTCATGTTCATGACAAACGGTCACATCTATCCTGATTAACTAATGGAGAATGACCTCTTTAAACGCCCTGGTCTTAAAGGGAAAGTTCACCCAAAAATGAAAATTCTGTCATTAATTACTCAGCCTCATGTCGTTCCAAACCCATAAGACCTTCATTCATCTTCAGAACACAAATTAAGATATTGTGGAGAGTATCACCCACAAGCGTTGTGATACTCTCCACAATGGCGGTGCACCGCTGCAGACGGGATGAGGAGGAGAAGAATTGTTGAATAAAGTCGTTATTTTAGTTTTCTTTGCGCTTTAGTATTCTCGTAGCTTTGTAAAATTACGGTTGAACACCTGATGTCACATGGATTATTTTACCGATCTCCTTGCAACGTTTCTGGACCAGGGAACATTTCAGTTGTGTTGCAGTCTATGCAGGTTCAGAAAGCTCTCGGATTTCATCAAAAATATCTTAGTTTGTGTTCTGAAGATGAACGAAGGTCTTGTGGGTTTGGAACGACATGAGGGGGAGTAATTAATGACAATTTTCATTTTTGGGTGAACTATCCCTTTAATGGGCAGTCTTGCTCAACTTAAAAAAAAAATAGGTTTGAAAAAGGTTAAATGAGTTTATGGTGCTTTGGCTACAGTTCCAGTGTGGACAACAACCACGCATGTCACTTCTGCAGGCTGCATCTTACTTTGTGACAAACAGTCACTCTTTTCATAGCTTTTGCTGGCTCTGAGGCACTTGCTTGGTATTTTTCCTGCTCTTATCATGAAAGGAAAGCTTAAAGCGAAGGCCTGATTATTTCAAGGACCTTCTCACAAGTCCACTGTTTTTGAATTTCTGTTACTTTTGCTAAATTTTCACACTTAAAACAATGATTTGGTATCCCTCTTGTACCACTGTCCTCTTTTGGGCTAAGAAATAAGCAAATAAGTCTCCTGACAGTTATCTCCCAAGTGGTTCTATTGCCGTCAGCATAATTTTCAAGAAATTACTCCCCTTTTAAACATTTTGGTTGAACACACTCACCTATTGATTGAAATTTGTTTTATTTGGTAACTTTCAGGAAGGTGTCTTCATTTTTGCAACACAACATTACAACAATCAGTTTGATAAGAAAATCAAATTTTCCTGAATAATGTCGACGTGCTTCTTTGGTAATTGATCAAGCAGACTTAATGGAAAATTATGTCCCAGAAAAACCTTAATATGTCTGAATGAACATTAGATCTCCGAATATGTGTTAGGGTTAATCTAAGTAAAGAATAATAGCTGGATTTGTTAAGTTTCAGAGGGGGTGTACTCTATGCTGAGGATTTTTATACTAGAGTTTTAATACTAGACCACCACAAAACTATAAGTTCAGCATTGTGACATCACAGACAATCAGAATATATTTCAAATAGGCGCTGGATACTATTTTCCCAACATAAAGTACCTTTAGCAGCACTAGATACTGTTTCTGACATGCAACTCACTTCTTACCGCAGCTGTATTGTAATGATCTAACCATAACATTTCTTGTTTTTCATGCACAACAGTAACAAAAAGAGTCCTGCTCAAACATAAAAAAAATAAAAAAATAAAGATTATTTTGGAAAAAGCATGACACAATCTTCAAGGACTTGTTCTAGTCATAAACAACTCAAAGTCCTTCAATGAAGGTAGTCATTAAAAAAAAGGATACTGACTGACTTCTTAACTGAACGTACTGTAGGAGTAGTTCAGCATTTCAGCTGAAAAATACATGCAGGATGACCTTGAGCTAATACCACTCCACTCACCTAACGTTAATCCAAGTAATTAGCTAAATTAAACATAACTTCCATTCCTAATACTGTTAAACATAGTTTGACAACCTTGTGAACTTGTATGCAAAGTAATGTCTAAATATATAGTGTTCGGGTAAACTAGCAACAGCGAGAAAAACTAGTTCCAAGCATATCAGAACAGTTACTGAAAACAGAATTTGCCGTAGGCACCATTGTATTTACCGCATATGTACAGTAAACACACAGTCCCACCCATGGAGTGAAGTGTAAGCAAGATGTGTTAAAAGATAGTTTGCTACATGCTGCTGCCCTCAAGTCCCCCTGAGAGCTCCCCGTCTAAACTAGGAAGTCGAGTACAATTTGATGTGCATTCAAGTGACTTTGGGTCGAAGAAAAGGTACAGCTTGGCCAATCTGAGACCTTTTAACCCAATAAAATGAAGAGTAGGTAAAATATTTACATTAGGTGTGTAGTTCATGGGTTTCAAAATTCTCCTACTTCCACAGAGAATGATGGGAAATGTAGTTATGTCACCCAGGCCTGCCGCCTCATGAAATGTTCTGCTTTTTGAGTTGTGTTTCGTGAATAAGGCCCAATGACTAGGATGGCATACCTCTTTTGGTAAAGACGTTAGTCGATTCCTATCACAGTTGAAGTTGGACAGTTTCTTTAGTTTTCCAATACTTCTTGGCAAATTCTGAGAGAGAAAAAACACATTTGAAAATCACTTACATGTACTGTAAAAGAAAAAAAATGAGCAATAAGATGACCACATAAGATTACAACTCGACACTCCAAAAAACCGCTGGGTTGTTTCAAGCCATGTTTAGGTCAAATATGAACAAACCCAACCATTGGTTTAAATTACCCTAAATTCTAGATTAATCTTAAATCTAGATTAAAGGGTTAGTTCTCCCAAAAATGAAAATTAGCCCATAAATTACTCACCCTCAAGTCATCCTAGGTATATATATATATATGACTTCTTTCAGACGAATCCAGTCGGAGTTATATTAAAAATTGTCTTTGATCTTTCAAGCTGTTTAATGCCACTCAGTGGGTGTTGCATGCATTAGTCCAAAAGAAGTTAAATAAAAAGCACTCATCCATTAAAAAAAAAAGTCTCTCACACGGCTCCGGGGGGGTGAACAAAGGCCTCCTGTAGCGAATCGATGCGTTTTTGTAAGAAAAATATCCATATTCAAAACATAATAATCACTTTAATCTGTCTTGCGCTCACTGTTGTACACTGGAAGCAGTTCCTGGAGGATGACGTATGAGTCTTTGTTCCCCCCCTGGAGTCGTATGAGACACTTTTTTTATGGATGGGCGCTTTTTATTTAACTTATTTTTGACTGATGCACTGCAACACCCGCTGAGTGCCATGAAACAGCTTAAAAGATCAAAGACAATTTTTAATATAACTCCAACTGGATTCGTCTGAAAGAAGAAAGTCATATACACCTAGGATGACTTGAGGGTGAGTAATTTATGGGCTAATTTTCATTTTTGGGAGAACTAACCCTTTAATTTAAACCAATGGTTGGTTTTGTCCATATTTGACTCAAACATGGGGTGAAACAACCCAGCATTTTTTAGAGTGTAATAAGGAAGCAAACTTTTTTTTAAGGGCATAGATTTATGGGTTTATGGGGTTTATGAGGATTTATGGTCAGGGGGTATTCCAGAAAGCAGGTTATGTGGCATACCCGGGTATGTTTAAGAGTAAGCAAGCAGATAACCTCAGCTTTCGGTTCCAAAAATGGAGGTAACTATGTAAGTAGCCAAAGAAACTTCTTCTCTGAACATATCCTGCTCCGGAGTCTGTTTCAGGGTTAGTTTACTTTACGTGACCTACTGATGAGACTCCAGTGGGTGTGACAGATTACGCACAATATTATTACAATATATTTATATAATAAATTATATATATATATACACATATATTATGTTTACAAAAACTTTTATTTTGGATGTGATTAATCGCGATTAATTGTTTGACAGCACTAATATATACTATATATTACCCTACTAACTATTTACAGGTGCATCTCAATAAATTAGAATGTCGTGGAAAAGTTCATTTATTTCAGTAATTCAACTCAAATTGTGAAACTCGTGTATTAAATAAATTCAATGCACACAGACTGAAGTAGTTTAAGTCTTTGGTTCTTTTAATTGTGATGATTTTGGCTCACATTTAACAAAAACCCACCAATTCACTATCTCAACAAATTAGAATACTTCATAAGACCAATAAAAAAACATTTTTAGTGAATTGTTGGCCTTCTGGAAAGTATGTTCATTTACTGTACATGTACTCAATACTTGTTAGATTCTCTATGGGGTTCAGGTCCGGTGAGTTTGCTGGCCAGTCAAGCACACCAACACCATGGTCATTTAACCAACTTTTGGCGCTTTTGGCAGTGTGGGCAGGTGCCAAATCCTGCTGGAAAATGAAATCAGCATCTTCAAAAAGCTGGTCAGCAGAAGGAAGCACGAAGTGCTCCAAAATTTCTTGGTAAACGGGTGAAGTGACGTTGGTTTTCAAAAAACACAATGGACCAACAGCAGCAGATGACATTGCACCCCAAATCATCACAGACTGTGGAAACTTAACACTGGACTTCAAGCAACTTGGGCTATGAGCTTCTCCACCCTTCCTCCAGACAATTCAGAGTTTAACAATTTGAGTTGAATTACTGAAATAAATGAAGTTTTCCACGACATTCTAATTTATTGAGATGCACCTGTATATATATATATATAGTTATATGAAATGTAAATTTTAAAGCACTAATATTAGTAATATATAAGGTACTATTATATTTTTCTAACATTTATTATATGTATTTTATTGGCATAAATAATATTTATCTGTATAAATTATAAAACACTATTATGACAAAGTAATGTTAATTTTATTATATTATGTTTATTACATTTTATTATCATCTCACACATCAGGGATCTGCATTCACATTTCGTTATAGTTGCACCGCCTCTACTACCACGACTCCTAAAAAAAAAAAAAAAACTTTTCATTCCGCGCTCCCCCACAAAGCTCCCCCGGGATCCGCTCCCCCTCTTCCAACGAAGGGCTGCTATCAACGAGAGGAACGTCTGTACTTCCGCAACAGACAACAAAACTTTTTGGTTGTTAAAAAAGGTGCGCTCGTTCAAAACAGTTGCGTTCGATCCTTCGCTGGCTGTGCTGATTTAAATCTAGCGGTTCTGTTGTGTTTGTGTCGCAAGTTCAGTGACGCAGGTAGTGACGATTCTCTCCGGCCAATCAGTGATCAGCAAAGTTTACACGTCATGTTTTGGTAATGGTACGGTTCACTTCGAACCCCAACCGAGGTGGTACTAAAAAAAGTACCAGGTACCAGGTACTGTACTCAGTGGAAACCCCCCCAAAAGTGAGCCGTACCGTGCCGTACCACGCAGAGGAAAAGCACCACTAGTTACTATATCAACATTATATAGAGAAAAAAAGTGCACCAAAATTCAAAAGTCTTTTGACGATATCGCTGAACATTTATTTTACCATAGTAAAATTATATTTCTGGCTTAAGGACATTTTTCATCTCAGTTTTTATTACTCATTTAAAATTAGACAAATCTGCTATTATTTTAATCTCCAGTCTGATATTTATCAGTTTAAATAATTTTTTAATGCTTCGCTAACTATCAGAAGACAGTAACCAGTTTTAAATTCCAGTTGCGCAGAACCAACCAAGGTGCTATCTCAAAAACACACTCTGCAAAATATGGTAATTATCATTATCAAAAAATAAATAAATAAAAAGACATTGTGTCAATATTGCACACCCCTAAAATAACCAAGCATCTAGTCATCCTAGATTTTTTTTTTAATTATATTGTAGTTTGTATGGTTAATATTAATGTAATTGTGAGTAAACTAGGGTTTAACAAAAGGTAATTCGGCCCGCACAAGGGGACATTTTCTCCGATCCGGCCCTCAACCTTAAATGAGTTTGACACCCCTGATGTAGAGAGTTCATAGTCTCAGGTGCTGTAACTTACCACCAGCTGGTTTTCTGTCAGCACTAGTTCTGTCAGGCTTTCACAGTTGCCAATGCTCTCCGGGAGTTGGACTAATCGGTTTTGATCTGCTTTCAATATTGAAAGCAGTCTTAGTTTACCTAAAGGGAAAAAAAGGAAAAATTACAGTACGATTACTGCATAAAAACAAAGCCAAACATCACAGCTCACTACTGTGCTCTTTAAACATCAAGAGAACCCAACAAGAGTGGATAAGTAGGTTAACCACAACCAACAAACCGTTCTATTAATATAAGCTCTTTATTTTGCACACAAAAAAAACATGATAAAAGAAACAAGAAAAAAAGTTTTTGTCTCTCCCTTTTCCAAATTAAAAATCAAACTCCTCCATCACTATCATCTAATTTCTGCAGGTTATGAAGGACAACAACCACACAGAAGCACACATAAACAAACACACAGGCACTACAAATAGCAGCCAGGGTCCTAAACACTGACCTAAGCCCTCCGGCAGCACGCCTACGAGGTTCTGGGACACCAGGAGGTCAGTGAGGGAGAGGAGGCTTCCCATCTCCTCTGGGAGGTGCTCTAACTTGTTCTCCGATACATCCAGACATGTAAGGCTTCTCATACTCCCCAGTTCCTGAGGCAGAGAAAGCACACACACACATACATACACAAACACGCACAAGCACGCACGCACACACACACACGCACGCACGCACGCACACATGCACAAACACAAATATGTAAACATGCAAATGCAAACACAGGCACCCAACCACAAGCACACAAAAAAGCCTCTAGGATATTGAGGAAGTAGCTTTCAAGAGGAGATTGTGTTTAATTAATAAAAAATTATATTAAACATTACGTTACAATTAAGTGTAAAAATAATATAAAGGAGCAGTACACGCGTCTTATGAAGCAATACATGCTTACAAAATATCTGCAAAAGAAGATCCGACAGTCCGCTAGACAGACAGTTTTTGAAAAAGACATCAACAGGACATGTCAGAAATACTTTACCGGTGGTATTTCAGACAGCTGGTTTCCGTCCAGCCACAGGTCTTTCAGACTGACAAGACAGCCTATTGTCTCAGGCTGCAAGAAAACAAGTTTGACAGAGTTCAGACGGAGCAACGAGAACGCAGCAGGTGACTGTTACCGACGTGCGCAAGAATGCAGGCTAGCGCGAAACTGTCGTGAAATGGCATTCCGATGTAGCCTGCATACATTCAAACAGGGGTCCCATTCATGGAAACAAGGGTTTTAGACTTGGTCAAACGTCAGTACACTAAATCAACGCTTGAAAAACGTCCCAATGTTTCAATTAATGTGTGAATCTCAAGAGACCTGCCGAAAACATGTTTCACCCCAAAACGAAAAGGAAGAAAACAAATTTTATTTTGCATAAAGAAAACCAAATTTGAGCAACATTAAAGGATTTTCACTCAAAAATGAACATCATTTGCTTGTTCCAAACCTGCACGAGTGTCTTTCTTCTGCTGAACACACAAGAAGATATTCCAGTAACCAAACAGCTGATGGTCCCGATTGACTTCCACTGTATTTTCTTCCATACTACACTCTTAAGAAAAATGGTTCTAAACAGTACCAGAAAACAGTTCTTCGGCTTCAGCAGAACCCTTTTTAGTGCTAAATAGAACCTTTTTTATAGGGTTCAATATAGAAATGAATGAGAATTAGTTGACATGTAGTTGCAAAGTTACTTATAGTTAGTAGAATGTCTAAAGGGGACTATCAAAAAGAGTAACCTTATGTTTAAATAAATTTGTCATGAAAACTTATGACAGCTACGGTTTAAATGATCATATTTCAACAACGAATTATAGCAGAAATAATTATATCATTAGAAAGTAAATGTGCAAGTTAAATGTTTGTATACAACTTTGTATACAAATTTCTTTTATTGGAGTGTTGATTATTATATCTGAAAGTAAATAAGCAATTGAATGTAACAGTTTGGGCTCTGTAGTATATGTGTTTTTGTTGTTTTATCTATTCATTTTCAGTGAAAAGGAGAAATATGCATGTTAACTGTATGTCCTACTGAGTGCTGCAATTAAACTGTTAACAAAAAGTTGTGAAATGTTTGTGGGGGTTTTATTTGTTGCATAAAATGTAAATTTGCAGATAATCTTGATTTATTTTTTTTAGCCATAACAGTCAAAAATGAACACTGTGACATCCTTACTCCAAATGAACTCACAAATTTATGGTTTATTGAGGCCCAATATCTTTATGCAAAATAAACTTCTTCTTTTTTCCGTTTGACTTGATGTGATGAGGACATATCTTCATCATACTCTATTCAGCCTAATAATCAGACGAGGTTCCAGAGATGGCGTGACAGCTGACATATTCCAAGTCTTGTTGGGCAATTAAAGTCGTTATTATTGTTATTAGTCCATTTAAAGCGTGCAATGAAAATCTCAACACTTACCAAATTATACAGTTCATTGCTTCCTACATCCAGTTCTTCAAGTTTATGAAGTTGAGACAGAGACCTGATTGAAAAAAAAAATTAAATGAGATCAATTTGCTTTTGCCTTATGTACACACACACACACACACACACACACACACATACACACATACACACACATATACACACACAGCATTGTGAGGTGCACACTTACTCTGGCAAATAAGTCAGCAAGTTCTCTCGGAGTTCCAGTGATACCAAGTTACAGAGGCTAGATAAAAGACAGGAACAATGCACAATCTTAAGTATATGCGTAAATGTAAACAATTAAACATTTGAGCAGTAGATTATTTTGTCCTGATGAGTTTTCTGAATTTCATTTGCATTATAGGACCACTATACATATTGTCATTAAGAGAGGTGTTATCAATATTTTAAGAATAACATTTACAACACAAAGCTTCTTCCAAGTCCACATAAAGACCATTAAAGGATATCAAGATGCAACTAACAGCAACCAACAAAGTAATAACGTCTCAACCATAAGCACACATTGGACTAATTAAGACTTTAAGGCCTGGTTTCATAGAGAGGGCTTAGGTTAAACCAGGATTAGGCAATAGGTCAATTAGGACATTTAAGGAGTTTTTATAAACGTGCCTTGAAAAAAAAAAAACATTACTGGTGTGCATCTTGAGACAAAAACAAAGGCACTGACATTTTAAGATCAGTCAGTGCACGTTTCTTTCAGTTGAAACAGCTCAGACTTACATTTCAGTCTGGGATTAGGCTTAAGCCTTGTCTTTGAAACCGGGGGTAAATGTTTTTGAAATAAGTCTCTTATGCTCACAAAAGGCTGCATTTGATCAAAAATACAAGTAATATTGTTATTATAATGTGAAATACCGGTACACCTTCTTCGATAACGATATAAAAAATGTTCGATATAGTGCACGATATAGGCACGTGCTATGAGTGACGCAGACAGCTCACACAAACACGAACACATGCTGAATATTAGTCGAATTTAAAATAAACATTTGCATTTGAATGTTAGGTGTGCGTCAGGGAGCGTCATCAGTGGCGCACGAGATGCGTTGATAATGACGTAAGTGACCTTGTTGCATTTTAATGTTTCGTTAGTCTAGCCCACGAGACGCGCCGCTGCTGTGTTATGCATTCAAAATATTAGAGAAATATAGAATCTCAATGTGGAGAAGATCTTGATTAGGTGAAAACCAAAGCCAAGCCATTCACACAGATGCATAATTAACACATTTTTAGACCGACAAATATGACTGCTGCACTCGCGTCTCACACAAGAGATGTAGCCATGCAAAGTTAAAACACGTCGCAAATTTGTGGAGGTTTATTCCTTTTCACTGCGTCTCATATGTTTTTAAATGCAATCTGTGTGATGGGCGATTCGGCTCTTTGTATTAAGCAATGCATAAATACATGATGTTGTTTTGTTCGTAATTGTTTATGCAATTTATGAAATTATATTTGATTTATACGAGTTAATTTAGATGTAATGCAGGTTTTTTTAATAGACATTTATTTCCTTGCGTTGACAATTTAAATGTGCTGCATTACTTTGCTCATTGCGCCCTCCTGTGGCCTCGGGAAATGAGACAAAAGTTTCCTTAAGACCTATTTAATCTGCATATAAAACATTAGAAATTAGATATTTGTTTAATTTGTATTTTGTGCTTGACTGAATATTTGTTGTTTGTCTCAATAAACTGGGTTAATTTAAAAATACAGTGGTTAAATTTAAAAAATAAAAATTCTATTGCTCTTTGTTTTACAAAAGGTTATAAAAAAATGCCAATAATTATCGATACCGAATGATATGAAACATTATATCGTTGATGAATTTTTTAGCTATATCGCCCAGCCCTAGAAATATCTATTTCTACTTGAATATTGTAAAACGTAATTGATTGCTGTGATCAAAGCTGAATTTTCAGCATCATTACTCCAGTCTTCAGTGTCACACAATTTTTCAGAAATCATTCTAAGATGCTGATTTGCTGCTCAAGAAACATTTCTGATTATTATCAGTGTTGAAAACAGTTGTACTGACGAATATTTTTATGGAAACCAAGATACGCTACCATTCAAAAGTTGAGTCGGAAGCAAATTCCTCACAGAAATGTCAACTCGTTTTCTGTTCAAAATTAATGTGCACTGAGATAAGGTTCATCTATCCGCTGACAGCGAAGAGAAGCACACTTAAAGGGGTCATATGATGCGATTTCGAGTTTTCCTTTCTCTTTGGAGTGTTACAAGCTGATTGTGCATAGATAGGATCCCTGAAGTTGCAAAGACTAAAGTCTCAAAACCAAAGAGATATTCTTTATCAAAGTTAAGACTCTGCCACGCCCCCCTAAAACGGCTCGTTCTAACACGCCCCCACATATCTACCTCACTATGTGGAAATATTTGCATAATGCCGCCCAAATGT